CGACTATCTGCTGTGGGACGGAGTCGCTCGTACACCTTTACCTCCCGCTTCTCGCTCGTGTCTCCGTGACCGGCGAAGCAACGGCGCGAGGAACAAACTTTTTTCGACGACCGATTCCTCATTCTCGATCCGTTTTTCCATCGAGTAGCTCGATTCGAAGAGAGGAGCAAGTTAGTCCAGGAAGAAGGGAGAGAGAAACAGATGGGAGAACGAGGAACGACTGGTCCAACATCGTAAGAAGATTGGTCGATCGGGAGGTGTGGAGGCAGAATGCGGTGATCGAGAGTAATAAACGTGATAAGGAAGCCTTCGAAAGGCTTCAGGCCGAGGCAACCATGCTGTTGCCGGCCGATATGCTGGCGGCTCAATCCAAGATGGTGTACCAGATCAACAAGTATTTCGGGGAGCGTGTGATGACCAGGAAGAGCCAGGTGATGAAGACGATCCAAGAGGTGTGTCGCGTGGTTCAGGACGTGTTGAAGGAAGTCGAGGTGCAGGAGCCGAGGTTCATCTCCTCGTTGACCGATTACAACGGCCGTTTCGACGGCCTCGACGTGATCTCGCCGACGGAGTTCGAAATCGTGATTTACCTGAATCAAATGGGGGTCCTGAATTTCGTGGACGACGGAACGTTGCCCGGATGCGCGGTGCTGAAGCTTAGCGACGGACGAAAGAGATCCATGTCCCTTTGGGTGGAGTTCATCACCGCGTCCGGTTACCTGTCCGCCCGGAAAATTCGCTCGCGATTTCAAACGTTGGTGGCACAGGCCTGCGACAAGTGTGCCTATAGGGACTCCGTAAAGATGATAGCGGACACGACGGAAGTGAAACTCCGAATTAGGGAGAGATACGTGGTACAAATAACGCCGGCGTTCAAGTGCGCCGGCCTCTGGCCCAGATCGGCTTCCCATTGGCCCATCGCGCACATACCTTGGCCACATCCTAATATCGTGGCCGAGGTGAAAACGGAGGGTTTCGACATGTTGTCGAAGGAGTGCATCGGTTTGCAGGGCAAACAATCGGCTATGGAGGGCGACGCCTGGGCGTTATCCTTCATAGACGCCGAGAACCGTTTGCTTCAGGGTGGTAGCAGGAAACGTTGCCTGAGCATTTTGAAAACTCTGAGGGACAGACACCTCGATCTACCCGGAAATCCGGTGACCAGCTATCACATGAAAACCTTGTTACTCTACGAATGTGAGAAACACCCGCACGAAGCGGAATGGGACGAAACGTGCATCGCGGATCGCATCAACGGGATCCTTTTGCAATTGATCTCTTGCCTGCAGTGCCGCAGGTGTCCGCACTATTTCTTGCCGAACCTAGATCTGTTCAAGGGCAAGTCGCCTAGCGGTTTGGAGAACGCGGCTAAGCAAGTGTGGAGACTCACCAGGGAGTTGTTGACCAACAGTCGTGCTCTCGAGAAGCTATAGTGAAGAAGAAATTTCTGATCTGTGCGAGAGGATGAGGAAGAAAATCTCTTGTTGTGTTTCGAGAAGAAGTTATGGGTACCTGAAATCGGGGGCCTACTTCTGGAAGAGAATCTTCGAGCAAGCTGCTCGATCATGATTAACGCGTTCGTCGAAGAATCTCGTTTCGAAACCGCGCAGTGTGTGCCCGCGAGGGGAATAATCGCGCGTGTGTGATTTTGTGGAGGACGCCGAGGACGATCGAACCAGTGCCATAAATACGCCGACGTTGACAGTCTCTGTTTCAGTTTCGAATCGCCGACGGCAATCGGATCACGATACTCCAACCACGATACTTAACTCTTAACCGGTGTTACTCGATTTCGTCGCTACGTTATACACTGATCCCAATTAAGAGACGACGATAAAGATATTATATCGATACGATTGTGATTGTTATACGATGAAGAAATCGGCGATCGAGATGAATATTATGTGAACACGAGATAAATACGATAAATAGTTAGAGAAGTATGGACGAGAATGAGTGAAGAATCGCGTTTCAGACTCACCGGTTGTGGGTTATGCTTGATTCATCCTGTCTCTTTCCCTCTGTCATTATGTACATACTACTTGCAAAGATATTTATTGAAAGTGTACACGAGATATGTGAAATACAATGCTATTTATATGGAACCGTAGCCGGAGTCGTCATTTTCGTCCGTCGAGGGCAACACACACCCACTCCTCACCTACTCGAAATTCACATGGAAGTCTAACTGTCGTAAATATTGTTTGAACGTATCGTTAAACGGTTTCTCGAGCATTAAACCCGCTTGGTTAGGCCTCGTAAATATTGTTCTCGCGTCTTTTTGCCACTAAATATTGAGACTTTCGAATAAAAA